ACACACACACTGTCAAGTACCTGGTAGGGAGACTGAATGTTTGAGGAGGCTTCTCTTGCACCTCGTGTTTTGTGGCCTTTGAGGATGGTGACAGATGCCAGGCAGATACTGAGTGGCAAGAGTGCACAGGGAACTCCAGAAATCGAGGTCACAGCAAGCCGAGGTCAAAAGCCAGGAGATCAGATGAAGTACCAAAGGGAGAAGGCAGAAGAATAATCCAATAAACGATCCGAGGTCAAAAAAGGTAGGCAGCAAGCAAGGAAGGTCGTTGAGGCAAAAACAGGTCAAAATCCAGGTAAATGGTGATATTCAAGGCAAGGCAGGGATCAGGATACAAAACACACACAGGAGCTGAGAAGACAATCCAGCAACTAATGAGCATGTGAGCCGGGTTTAAATAAGGAAGTGAGCTAATCAATCCCGTCACTTCCTGTGCGCCATTTGGCACGCTTTTCTGCGCCGTATGCGCGTCACTTCCGGAGTGCCATACGGCGCATCTTTCCATGGGGAAGACATGCTATGCGCATGCGTGCGCGCATCCTCCTTGGCGCGAATGCGTGGAGTGGGTCTTTTGCTGACACACAAAGGTTGAACTTGATGGACCTGTGTCTTTATTCAACCTCAAATACTATATAAATATGTAGTTCCCCATCAGGTCCATCAGCAGAGGGCGGGTACAATGCTAGTTTACTATTGGCTATTGCAAATTGAAATAGCCAATAGTAATGTACTAATGCTTTTCAATGGGAAATTTTCTTTTTTTTTTGTTCTATTCTGACATCGCTCGTGTCAGAATAAAGAAAAAAAAGACAGCAGGGTTTCTCTCCTTGGCGGCCGGGAGCGGGAGGCTCCCAGAGTGCCCGGGAGAGTTTTTTTTGTTTTTTTTACAGCAGCAGAGCTGCCGGACAATAGCAAACTATTGGGCGGAGCTAGCTGTCACTGCTAGCTCCGCACAATCGTTTTCTATGACATTTTTTTGTACTTTTTAACTATTTTTCTGTTCTGCTCGGTACCTCTGAGGGACCGAGCAGAACAGCCGAACCAAATGCCGCTCGGCGGCATTCGG